AGAAATAATCGAATAGGAAGCATTGTTGATAGTACGTGCGTACGTACTTTTTATTTTTTTTGCTTGGTTGTCCAAAAATTGAGTTCTGTTTTAGGAAATAAGCTACCGAAATAAGCTACTGTTTACTTTTTGCCGCAACTTTCTAAAAGTCGATTAAATTTTTTCTTAAATTTATAGAGAAGTTTTTGCTTCAAATTTAAAGAGGTATATATCGGTAAATTTCTAAGAGACATCTAAATTTATTCGAAGGCTTCTCAGTAATTAGGACAAATTCGATAATAATTTTAAATTCCACGAGTGCATAGAAAAAAAACTTTCGCCAATTATGTTAGTGTCGCCAACACTGAAATCAACATTTAACATTCTCTTATTGACTGACATTGATTTGTTCTCAATCGATATGATTAAATTTTGCAACGCTTTTTATGGTGTTATTTTACTTAATGCGCAGAACCAGGTTTCTTATCGTATTGACTGTACTCTCGGAATCTGCGAATTTTATTATGTGTTATACATGTTACGCATACTGTTTTGAATTTTTATTACTTTTACAAAAACCAGTAAATGACCATGTAGGCGACTTCGCCGCCTGTGGTTGCTAGTAACAAAGTTAATTGACACCAGGGTTGTTAAATTACCGTAATTTTAAAATTTTGGTAAATTACCTGTAAATTTACCTTTAGCTATTTTGAATAATAAAGTTTGTGCAACATAAACCATGTGATTTGATGGCTAAAAAGTTTTTTTAAGCCAATCAAATTATATAATTTGCAGATAGATCTATGAATATAAGGTAAATTTACCACACTTTCGGTAAGTTACCTGGTAAATTACCGTAAATTACCGATGGCAATTTACCACTTGACAACCCTGATTGACACTGAACTTGATTGGTATTGAAATCTGGACTTGATATGAAGTTTTTTTTTGTGCATTAATATTTCAGTTTTTTGTTAATAAATAGAGTATGCAGATTTTAGCAAGTTAAAATTTTCGTACCGAGGCTCCAAATCTTAGCATTAGCCAATTTTAGCGTTAGCTGCGATATTTATTATTAAGATGAGAATAAATATAACCTAGAGCTTGAATCCAGGTTAAATTTTCCAGATGAGCTAAGTGAATACCTGGATCATCTAGATCCAAGGTAAATATAACCTTAAAAGAACCATTTCCTGATATTATATGCAAATTTTATAATTAGAAATCCTTCAATTAATTATAAGTCAATGTCTAATTAGAAATAATACACGTATTTTATGAGAAAACATTTATCTTGTTTCATTATAACAATTGTTATTTTTATATTTATTTGTTTTTGCAATAACAAAATCGTATCTTCAACAAAAAACAAATGTTAAGAAAACCATGGAATGGCCATAATTTAAATACAGTCGGACCTCCCTATAATCACCCCCATATAGTCACCTCTATTTAAGCACCCAATTTTGTGTGACGGACTTAAAATAACCTCATTATAGTCACAAATCACTTATAATCACTATCACCTTAAAATCCAATTTTTAAGACAAATTTATTAATATAAAAACCTCGTTATAATCACTAATTTATTAATTGAAAGGTTTTTTTGATTAAGTTAATCACCTTTGGTCTCTAAGTAAAGTTACATAACTCATTAAGACAAATCTAATGGTGGTTAAATCATCAAAATCGGCCCAGTGAATGCTGAGATATCTTCGAAAAACGTTTCGCCGACTATTAAGAATTTAATCAAATAAGCATCAACAAGGGAGGAGAGTTTATTTTTCAGAGAACAATTCTCTTTCTTAAGAAGTTCAATTTCGCGGGAAAGTCGTTCATTTTCATTTTCAAGAGATTCCGCCATGGACATTAGGGTTACATTGTCATAATCCCATAGCAATTGGCATTCATCATTTTCTGCATCTTTGGTATCTTGTGGACCGAATTTACGTTCAATGTTAAACGTGTAATAAATAATATCTTGTATCCGCAGAATGAAATTAACATATTTGACATTCATTGTTTTGAGTAAAAACTCATAAAATTTATTGATTCATTGCGGAGAGTGAAAGGAACCTTTATATAGAAGCTAATACACACTCAATTCTATTTAATCGCAAAAAAAAATCTCGGTAAAGGATTAGAATTTTCTAGACCAATACTAATTCCTATTTGGGATAACCCGATTACTGTACCAAAAAAATACAGTTTGGAGCACGGCATATATGACAAATATATTTTATATGCAAAAATGCGGATTTCTAAGCCTCATTTTAGAAGTCTTAAGACTGTATCAATAGTACACAGTCTTAAGACTTCCAAAAAGAATACAAAATGCAAATGTCTCAAGTCGTCTCAAGTCAATCAATTGATAAGCAATGATATGTGTTGGTTAGGCAGTACAGACAGCACATCAATATTAGAAATGCAAAATCGGCTGATCGGCTTGTATATTCAGTATAATAAAAACCGATTAATCAATAGAGCCGATCAGCGAATTTATGAAACGTATTACAAACTCTAATTTTTTAAAAAAACTCAGATTCTATAATATATAACATCATCGTACCCCATTTGTAAGCAGGACACACTTATGCGAGTAATACAACCTCTTAAAAAGGAAATAGCCAATTATAGAGTGCAAATTTTGACTATTCCGGATCAGCCCGACATATAATCCGAATACGTGCGAAAGAAGAAAAAAGCGAAAATACTCAAAATTTAGTGTTTAAATCGACCTTGATGCACTAAATTAAAATGTCGGCAATAAATTTTACATATAACGGGTGTTAATCTGTTCCTATAGCCTCTAACTAAGGCTCTAAGTTTTTATTTCGCACACATAGTTTATTTACAAAATCGGATTTTCTTTTTTGGCGGAAATAAGCAAAACCTTGTCAGCATGCGTTGTGCAGACCAATAAATTTATTTGTTGTGCTCAGATTAACAGTTGTGTGACAGGACCAGAACAAATTAGAACCAAAATTTTTTAACGTTAGCCAAATCTTTTTAACGTTAGCAAATTTTTTCCAAAGTTTTTAATATTATCCAAATTTTTTATGTTTCACAAAATCATAATTGGATTTTCAGAGAAAAAGCAAGCCAAGGAAGGTACTAACCGAAACGCAAAATAAAAAATAAGGATGAATCAGCAAAACCACCAAAACTATCAAAATGCAATTCAATTATTGTCGCAGCTGATGCTGAAAACGGCTGATGCTGAAATTCGGACCTATTTTGATGTGAAAATTTTAAATTTTTTTGGGTGTTTTTTTTTTTTTAGGGTTAGGTCAGGATTTAGGGTAGAATTGATAATGAAAGAGTATATGGGGCTTTTGCTAACAAAATGACCCTCCGAGCTATTGTTACACAAGATTTTAATTAGTAAAATCATAACAAATCTATTTTTAGTAAAAAAAAATCATAGCAAAGGCCCCATATGTGAATTTTAGCAGGGTTTATATTTTCAAATCGTGACTCCGAATTTCAGCATCAGCTGTGACAATTATCATCACTACGCTTTCTTGGAATTGGGCCTAAATTAAAAACCCCGAATTACTATTGAATTATTAATGATGATTATGTATCAATCACATGACGCACATACTAAAATGAACCCCAAATCGAATAAAACTAATATAGTGATAACGTCAAACCCATCTCCCCACCTTAAAACCCATCTTCTTTTTTAACGGTAAAATTTATTTTAAAGTTGATCTGTATATATGTACATACGTACATATGTCTATATACGTGGTAATAACGACAATTCTATTTTTATCAATGGCTATCATTCGAAGTTTGAATGTATCGTATGTGGAAATTCATATAAAACAAATAGAGACATCTTGACATTGTTACAAAATACTATACTTCACATTCTGATCTTGATACTTTGCATGAAAATGCTATACAACAATATAAAGGCATTTTAGTTCACTATATTTAACAATTACCAAAAGAATCTAAACAATTAGGAAAACAAACAATGTCGGGGATGATGCTGAAATCGGATGATGCTGAAATTCACGTGATCACATGATGATCTTCCGTATAAACAAGCCTA